CCACACCTTCACTGCTCCAGTACCCAGGCTAGCTAGATTAAAGCTAGCCTAGGTATATCTTCTCCAGATGGAATCACATCCCAGGACTGCAGTATAGATATACCATTGGTGTCCAGTCAATTCTATGCTAAGCCCTGCATATTTAATTCTTGTATCTGTTTACTACAGTATGGGGCAAAGCAACCTTGTCAGATGAGAATAATTAGAATTATTCTCCTTAGGAGAGTCATGGGGCCGTACTTCCTTTACCCTGTTTACAAAATATCCATAATGACTACAGTGGGAGTCTCACAAGAGTAGTGAAGCTAGTATAGGGCTTTTACTCTTAATGGAAGATGTTTATGTACAACAGTAAGAAAACGGTTCCATATAGTATGCTAAGTCAACATTTGAAGGATCAAATGGATCAGTGGAGCAAACTGTTCACCTTCACTCAAAATCAGAGAAGCTTGCCTGTACTCCGTTTCACAAGTAGGAGGAGGAGAGCGGCAATCACCTTTTATCCTGTGCGAATTTTGTTTTTCTTACAAATAAAAGCTTCCATCCATTGTGGTTGTGAAGATGACCTTCCAAATATAAACTGATGTACTACAACCTTTGAGTCTTCAGACAAATAGACGTAATTTATATATATAAGCAGAAAACCCACATTTACTTACAGCGCTATGAAAATGATATCTTTAGTTTTATGAAAATAGTATCTCTTTTTCCTTTAATTTGGGAGATATTGTGCCTGTCATCATACAGCACTAGTGTAGAAGCTTTTGCCGCTGCAAGAGTACCCCATATAGAGCGGAAGGAAAATCTTGAAGCCACATGGAAGAATTAAGATAATTTGTGCACAATTGCCTGCAAACTAGATTGGCTAATTGTCTACAGAAAAAAAATGTTTTCACACTGAAATATTTTGTTTCAGATAATGCATTTGGTAAGTAGCTGCCTTTATTTTATAATGTTTTCAGAAACTTTAATAGAAAGACTAGAAACTAGTCTTCTATGGATCTGTTTGTCATCATCTTACATCGTTCTAAGATATCCTCCTTCTGGGGATAATGGATCATGAAACTTTGAAACTTCTGGTTTACATGTATTGCCTGCATGCTGTCAGTATCAAAACGCTTTCTTAATTCAGGGCCAGACTGTGGCTCATCCCTTCATAAGAGCACAAGCACAGGAAAGTTGAGTTGTTCAGAAATTTTGTGTTCAAACCATTTTTCAATGGAAAATTGGGCCTTTGACTGAATGAATTTTTGTGTATGTTAGCTTCCAGCAGAAAAATTCAATTTCCTGTCAAAGAAAACAAAAACGCCAAAAAAGAAGGGGGTTTGGCCAACAATTGAAACTTTGGATTTGAAAATATTAAAATATTTTATTTGCATATCTTTGATTGAAACTAAATGTTTTAAACACGCCTGAATCTAGCAGTTTCCTTCGACTCATTTAACATTTAAACCACACCCTCATAAGCCACCCTTGTGCCCAATGGAAGTTGTAGGTCACGGCCCCATTCTTCCAATGAGCTGGACTCCACAGACAGACTATATCTCCCATGATGAACCAATGGGTCAATATCAGGGGAGGCTGTGGTGTATCAAGGTATATGTAGCTGGATCAGGGAGCATAGCTCACGGCAGAGAATGGAGATGTGAGGCACCCTAAAACTCTTGCGAGTCACCATGGAAGTGCGGGCAGACAGAGTGATCTGGCTCAAAATATTTTGTTTCCATTTTCCCCAGTGAACGTTTTCAATGAGAAGTCAGAATTTTCCACAGAGGAGAAAAAAAAAATCCAGCACTGTTTTCCTACTAGCTCTATAGAAAGGGCACAAAAAGCTTTTGCACCTTGTGCAGGGGCTGCTGAAAGTGTGGCTGGGAGCAGATCCTGCAATTTATCAGTGCTCCAGATGCTAGCTGCCAGAAAGGGACAGGAGAGAGCTGTGCTTCCTCCAACAGCCCTGTGACCAGCAGCTGTGGGAAAGCTGTAGTATAGGGGCCTGATCAGGGCCCCTCCAAAGGCACTGGCCAGCACAGAGAACCTAATCCAAAATTCATTGATGTCAATGCGCTTTGGATCAGGCCCAGAGTGAGTTGCATTATCCACCCCTCCCCAAGGATAGGGCAGCTGCTATACTGGTGTGTGGCAACCTGGAGTCAGAAGTCTAGTCCCTCTGTGCCGTGGACACCATTTCTGAGATACAAACTAGCTTTAACTGTCAATATATTCCAAGCTAGTCTGTGGTGAGACATGTTTCTTACCTTTCAGATTGTCACAACATCAGCTGGGGGAAAAAAAAGATGATTTTCTTTTGTTGACTTTTGTGAACATAAAATTAGATAGTTTGCAAAAACTGTAAAAGTCCTTATTTAGTCTTTCACTCCATTACAAAAAAAAAAAGTGGTTACCCTGGCCTAAAATAGGGCAGTTGAGTGTCAGATATCAGACTTTGCCTCTGCAGCACAGAAAGTATTTTTACAATATTTAATTTACCTCCACCTGCAGTAATTACATCGCTTTAAATGAGAGGCCATTGTAATAGTCCTTCCGGGAATACAATTAAAAGTTTTGAGGTAAAACGAACTTTTCAAACTCGAGGAAACAAGCCACTCTTTCATTTACTTGCAAATTAGCAATTTTTCACACTTCCTGACCCTGAAAGCATGCATTAGTATTATAGTGGAGAGTGAACCTAAAAAAAAAGGGGGGACAGAAAATTAAATCTTGGTAATGAGGAATTCTAATGACTAAAAGGTTTGGGAAACCACAAATCTGCCAAAATGTTGTGTAAAGTTTAACATTTAGAACCAGATCACTGCATTAAGTTTTCATTATGGGCTTGAACTTCTCCTATGTGTGGCAAGCTCTGACCTGATCGGCAACTGTGGGCCTGATTCAAAGCCCATGAAAGTGTTCTTTTATAGATTTCCTTGTACTTTGGATCTGGCACTATGAAAAGGAGAGTGAGACTGAGTTGAGCTATCTCTGCTGTTAGGATCGTGACAAGGAGAGTAAAGACCAATGGTCAAACCTGAGGCTGAGTCTCAGAGAAGTCCATAGTCAAGTTCCAGATCAATACCAAGGATCAGAGTCCAAATCAGGTTTCAGGGCCAAGGTCAGCAAACAAGATCTAAATCAAGCCAAGGTCAAAGCCACACATTTAAGAGCAGGAGTAGTCATAGCAGACACAGAAGATCTGCACTGTTACCTGGACACTTCCTGGAATGCCCCCTTGGGTTTATATAGGGCAGGGAGCCAATCAGGAGCCAGGAGGCTGCTGCCTGTTAGGCCCCTTGAGGCAGGACTCCCCATGGTCTGTGTCCACAGCAGGCAGTGAATAGTGGAGTGTGAGTTTGTTACAATTGCTACTGGGAGCTAGCATAGAGGCATTTGCTGTCTGGTAGATCTGTAGGTCCAAGTTTGAAACTTGTGGGTGCTTACATTCCACAGCTGAATGGCAGGGTATATGGCAATATGCTGCAGGGCTTTTACTGCCTGTGCCCATTACCTGTTTGGGGGTATATGGCCAGTCATTATTGGTGGAGGGCCCTTGGCTCTGGAACTTGATCCATCCTTGCAGTTCACTGGAGCGGACTTTCCCTCTTTTTAGAAGATGGTTGAAGTAAGTGAGTGAGAAAGACCTAGTTGGGTTTGATCTCTGCCAACATTTGGCAACAGCATACTTTGCTCAAGATGCACCATGTGAGGCCCAGCTCCTACAAAGACATATGCACATGCTTATCTTTAAGCAGATGAGTAGTCCCATCAATTTCAGTATGCCTGGCAGGATCAGGGACCAGTAGCAATTTAGGTATTTTACAGCTTCGTCTGCTAAAAGTTTTGGGCTTCCAGGAGCATAAAACAAGATGTAAATGTTACCTTAGTGTTTTTCTCCTCCCCAATCCCCCAATTATTTCCACTGATTTAAAGTGAGCTTGTTGTAACCTGCTCAAGCTTCAGGCTGAATGCCCTAGATGCCTTGCAGGTTAAGGGCTATTACTGACAGAGACTTCTTCTCCAGGAGCATCTCCCAAAATCATTCTAGTTATTGTATCAATTTATTATACTCATGTAGCTTTTCATCTTTTTCAACTTTTCTTTAGTTCCCAATGAAGCTGAGATCAGCCTCAACCCAGTAGACTTCTATACACACAAACTACTAAGTAGTTGCTACACAAAAGGGAAGCCTCCACACAGGGACCAGGATTGGGATAGATCAGCTGTGTCATATAGTCATGGTTGCACAGGCAACCTTAATTCTGGCATTTCCTAGCTTTTGAGTGCTTAACTTTGCAACCTTAATATTCCTTTAACATATACATATAAGTAACATATATGCATATGTAAAACTGGGAAGAAATACAAATACTGTTTGTGTAATGCTTTAAAAATGTAAAGCGTTATATAAATTTTAAATATATTTATTATGACTTCAAAGCCAGGTATTTTCACCGAAATCTTTATTTTCTACCAGACATTTGAACAGTTCTGTCAAGAGAAAGGTGAAAACTCCTGTGACGTTGTCTGATTAAAATATAACCATGCAAATCATTGCTACCACTGTTTTATAATTACAATGAATCTTATACAAAATATAACTCATGGCCAGAACAGGCTAAACAGCTTGCAGGCTAACTAACCCAAAGTTGACCTTTAAAGACATTAGGAATGGTAATTAGGGCCATTCATGGTAAATAGGCTAGAACTTTGAAATGCAAACCTATGTTAGAAATTAGAGGTAATACTAATTGTGTGTATCTTAGATGTTATCCATGTAAACAAACAGTTCCTGTCTGTCACCATAGCTACTAATTTAGAGATCAAAAGGGAATGTTAACATTTAGATGACTCTTGGAGAAAATAATGTCATTGTCTATACATCTCTTTGAAGTTTGTCATAGACTGCCTAATGAATAAATTGCCCTATGTTAATCTGTGTAACTAATTACTGGTGGTGTTTAGAAAACGGAAGGTTACATCAAAAGCGTATTGTTTACCCTGGACTGTATGGTCAAGTGAATGCTAGAACACTGTATAAAAAGACCCTTGGGTCCTGATCCTGTTTATCTCAGATCTACTTGATGCTTCATCAGGGGAAACTTAAGCCACCAGATTGGGATTCTAGTGCTGACTGGTCCACCCTGAATATGATATTGGACATTGGACTATAACCTATGAACTATTTCTGAAAGAACTCTTTGCAACTACAAAGCTCACCATCTCTACTATGTATCTGAACCACAAGAATTAAACTCATGTCTGTATGTATATTGATCTTTTAACTATACTCTCTCTCTTTTGTTTTTTAATACATTGTAATTTAGTTAATAAAAATTAGCTGTATATATGTGTATTTGGGTAAAATCTGGAATATTCATTAATCTGGGAGGTAATGTGTCTGATCCTTTGGTATTGGTAGAACCTTTTCTTTTATATGATGAAATAAGATTTTCAGAAATCTTCATCATATTTGACTTGGGTACCTGGATGGAGTCCTGAGGCTGGGTACGGTGTTATTGACTTCTGAATAACCAGCGAGGTAATTAAGAAGCTGTTTTATTCTGGCTTGGTAAACCTAAGTATTGAATTATCCACCAGCTTTAGGGTTTGTCTGCCCCATTCTATGAAGTTCCCCCTAATTGAGTGACCTCAGCCAGCCCCCACTGGGACCCCGGTAACAACTCCTTTCACATATAGAGTGTGTACATTAAAAATGTGCTATTTATTTAATAAGAACAGGCATTTATTAGTTATTGAAGTCTATCCTGGCTTTGGAAAATAAGATGACTTCAAATACACAGGAAATGTGTGATAAGATGTTTTTTTCAAGGCTGTTTTCAAAACATTAAAAAATGGTAAATCTATTTTATATGCCAGTGTTAGTTAATCTAATTTCTAAAGTGAGCTTGACCACCCAGAGAGCAAAGATCAATCTTTGTGGAAAGAGTTGATATCATTTGTAAAATTTATTATACTATATTAATAATATAGTTACATTCATAAACCTGGAAAGCATCCAGCCTGTTTGTGGTGATCCAAAGGGTAGAGAAAGCCCTGTTATAGGCATAGAGGATACAGGATCAAGTTCCAGTTATTGAGGGGAAAGGAGAAGGGGACTGATGGAGGTGCATCTCTCTCCCTGTCTCACTTCGCCACCAACTCTGTGTCAGACTTATCAGTCCAGGATACTGTCTGTGGATGATGTGGTCTATTCTGTGCTTCCATAGCTTGTGAGCTCTCTGGCCCTTCCATCCCATTGGCATCATCACTGCAGCATCTTGACTGTCTTTACTGGGTGGGGAGCCCTGGATGCACTTATTCAACTGAGGATAATGAGGTGTGCAGTATTTATCATGGGTTGACACCTATACCACTCTCTCCTGCGCCTCATTGAACAAAGTGAAGGAGGAGTCCCAGCTCAGGATTGCGTATTGATTGCTGGTGTTGCCGAAAGACTGGTAAATCTGTGCCCTAGACTTGCATAGCTTAAAATTTACTCCTAAATTTGTCAAGCTCTTTGAAATTCTTCAAAATAATGAAAGTTGATATATAAATGTAGAATATTAAGAGCTGGATATTATATGTGACATTGCTAAGGAACTAATCTACATATGTGTTTTGCAACATGCACGTATAAATCTGATTTAAACACAGGAAAGAAAGGGACTGGAGTTGCCTAGAAGCAGCTATTTTTACACAGTTTATTGCTAATATCTGTGTCTAAATGACATCAGATGCCTCCTTCCTTTTATGAAGCGGCTGTGAAAGGTGTCATGTCAGGGATGGTTACATAAAATCTTGTTGAATGCCTTTGTTTTTATAGCTCTAAGTATTCCCAAACAAACACCTTTAGTTAAAGGCCATGAATGTTCAATGAACACCTTTGTTGTTTTCTTCCACCTCTTTTGTGGTAGAGAGCAAATCTTTCAAAAGGAAGACAAGGGTTTTCATGGATGAGCACAGCATCAGGCTGCAGACTGGAACTACGATTAAATTCAGATATTGAAGAATATATAAAGGTGGCACTGAAATTAGTACTTGTATTGTAAATGCTCCTCTTTGGCCTGAGGTCCTTTAAACTTCCTATAATGAAACTCTTTGATTACAACAAAATTAAGCTCAAAAGGAATTTTCTTATCAAAATTATTGCTGTAGTGATTAATTCAGAGGGCTTTTTGCTCACTGAAAATACACAAGGGTGGTGGAATGTTTCTCTGATGTTTTATTCTTTCCCTCATCTCCAAACTCTGTTCCCATTGAAGTCAACAGGAGTTTTACCAGGATCTTCAATGGAAGCAGAGTTAGGACAATGCTACATGCTTTTAAAAACTCCACCCTGAACCTATTAAAGTTCAGCAAAATAACATAACAACAAGCAAGAGGGGGACTGTAATGCAGATGCTTATGTTTACCCCATGACTGGGATGTCTTAATGGCTTTGGCACTACTAAGCAGTATGCACTCTGTTCTTTTGCAAGCTGGGCAGACAGATGTGCATGGAAAGTGAAAAGTGTCCAATGTCCATAAACTAGAAAACAGAGTTAGCCTGTCAGGGAAAGAGTGTTATTAATAAATGAAATGGATAATTACATCTTTCACCCAACCCGACCTCAATGCACTTTACAAACACAAAGTAAGGCTCACACTAACCTTGTAAGGTAAGTAATCAATTACTGTGCCCATTTTATAGAAGGGTAAAGAAAATTGGATCAGAGAGGATAAAAGCTCAAACTGCAAGTCAGTGGCAGAACTGGGAATATAATTAGGAAAACCTGACCATTGGTGCCTCCTGGTCTAACCAACAAGACAACACTGTTTTCTCTTGAAATATCATGGCACTGGATAAAGCAAATTGCCCAGCAATCTGAGCTGGAGAGAATCATCTGTTTTTACATATGGTACAAAACCTGCTCTTTGAGAGTTTCAGGAATGTGGCTAGAATTTTGTCATTCTCCCAGATTTGTGTGGTGTTTTATACATTTACCAGAAAATACATGTTGTGAGAGGTGCTATGTATAACAGTAAGTAAAAGAATGAATAATTAAGTAAAAGTGAAACTCCATCCTGAAACAAATGGCAGATGTTGACACACTCCTCTTTTATCCCAAAAGGAAATAAATAGTCTAGCTTCCCCCCACACACACATACACACTTTCTTTACCTCAGTTATCCCAGTTGCTCTCAAAAGCCAGCTGTACATCCTGCACTCACAGCTTTTTTTTGTCTTTTCTACAGTCAGATTGCAACTCCTTTCTTTTTGTCTTTAGCCCTTTTCAAACCATTCTCTAGAACCACAAAGGGCACACACAACCCCAGAAAAGCTTTGCTTTGCATTGTAGGGGAAGCATCAAGAGCAACTGTTTGTCCAGTGAACTGCCATGATGATCGTTTGTTATTTGAGCCCTGAATTTCCATTGCTTCATTTTGATGTGGCTGCTCTAAGAGAACATCCAGAAATGTTCCTGAACGTCTAGCGTTGGGCAGAAAATCAGCAAACATAAACATGAGAAAGTGACAGCACCAGGTGAGAATGTGTAAAGGTAGTTTGTTCTGTTCTAGAAGAAAATAGATTGAGTGTAAGAGAGAGAGAGAGAGAGAAATGATGATGGAATCTCTGTGAGTACTGTAAAAAAGGCCATTGGAATGGATAATTGCACTGCACTTTTATATGGTAAAAAATGAGAAGTATTGCCCATGTTTGGAATATGCACTCAGCTGAAGTCAGACAAATTCATACAGATGTTAGAGCACAGAGGTGAATTTCAGACATACTGCCCAGATAACAAACCTATCCACCCTCCCTCAGATCTGTGTGAAAAAGCTATTTGCATACTGAAAACAAGTTATTCAGAATAATGTTTTCTGTATTATAACTTTATCTGCAAATTGGCATCAGTCCATTGAATTCAATGGAACTATGCAGATTTACACCAGCTGAGGCTCTGGCTCTAAGGGAAGGTCTACAGTTTGCGCTCACATACCTGCTCCCTGGCAGTGCGAGTGGCAGCGGGGGGAGCTAGCCACTTGAGTATGGACACATCTGAGTCTCTAGGCTTGTATTCAGTGCAGGGAATTTGGAGGGGGATAGGAAGAAGGTTGTTTTCTTGTTGCATTTCAAGTGGGGCAGGTGCACTCATTTTGTTCTTGCATTCTGTTTTTCAGAGATTATCCCATTTCACGAGTTTTCATCAGAGCACTGTTAACCTTTTTACTACAATCCATTGCTAATCAGATTTGTTTTTTCTAAAAACAACACTATTTTCAGTTATAGAAACACATACAAAAATGTCTAACGCTGCCAATTTATTTATTTATTCATTTTACATTCTTGTATTCCAGAATTATTGTAGCCAATTTACTCATGGTAATAAGATTTCCAACAATCAAATACTACCGAATTACCACGGAGGTAGGAAGGGTAGTAAGTTCAATGTATGGTTCAAAATAAAGAGACTTCCCTGCACACATAACTAGCCAGGGAGCCATATTACATACAAAATAACACTAAGGGGAAAATTCAGAGGTGATGTGTAAAGTGGTATGGATTACACACCCTGACGCTTATCTACTTAAATCACAGTTGTATAAAGGAATCTAAACTGATATAATTTGTAAATGGATTAAAATGAAAGTAAATGTGGGGGCAGATTCCTTTAAAGTACAACCTCCTGTTAATTGCTTTTTTCTTCTCTTTGGACCTTTAGCCTGTGATTTTACATGAGTACTAGTAGCTGAAAGTCTGTGTTGTCACATGGGTATAATTCGAAAAGTCATGGGTATAAAAGAGCTGAAAATGGCTGAAAACTTAACAAATTGGACAGTAACAGACCACAGATCCCAGTGATGATTGAATCTGGTGATATTCTAAACAAAAGGAGCTCTCAAACATGCTTGTAATTGTTTCCATTACTTCGCACTGACTGTACAGACATTCTAGACTTAAGAGTGAAGTTTTCCATTATTGTATATGCTAGTTATGTTATTGATGTAAATGGCTGTATTCATTTGTGTGTGGGTTGCGTAGTTGTGTGGATTTGTGCTGGTGACAAATAAAGGGTGTGTGCTTCGGTGAGAGACTGTGTGTTTGGGGTTATTGTGTTTGGGGTTATGGTGTTCAGTTGTGTGGGTGGTTGTGTTAATTTGTGTCTAGGGGGTTGTGCTGGGATATTGGTGTTGATTTGTGCAGGTGGCAGTTGGGGGCATAGTTAGACCAACTAATCCATCATCTGTGCAGTCAAAGACACTGTTACATGTAAATGAGCTATAGAGTAAGGGTAATGATTGGTTGAGTTACCTATGAGATCACAATGGTCTAGGGTTCTTGGCATGGCCTAGGTACATGCCTTAGTGTAGCTATCTGCCATATGGGTGTAATTCTTAAAGTCAAAATGGCTGAGGACTTAAAAACTGAATATTAACGGACTGCAAAACCCAGTGATGATTCAATCTGGTGATATTCTGAACAAAAAGAGCTCTCAGACATTCTTGTAGCTATTTCTATCATGTCACACTGACTTATATATTTTAAGCTTCAGAATGACATTCTTGGAATCTTATTATGTAGATAGATGCCCCTAGACTAAGTGACCCAAATTCAGAGATGATGCATAGAGAAGGATGCTAATTAAGACACTGCTAAATGTGCGCAAATCTACATGAGTCTAATTAAGTCTAAGGGAGTCCATAGGAAGTGAAAACTGGTATAACATTGATGAGGGTGGAGCCAATAGAGGTGGTGTTAATACCAGTTTATCTTTGTCCAGAATTATTTAGAATCACCTCAGAGTAATCTGTATGAATTCAAAAATCAATTTTTTTTCAATGAGATTCAAATTTGGATTGTTGAATGTGATAAAACCTTTTTTTAAGAATATAATTGAATTAGTAAATATTAGTAGATGGCAAGGATAATACTTTGTATTTTCATAGGGATTTCCATCCAAACATATCAGAGCTCTTTACAACTATTAAGTCAGATAGCCTGACTACTTTGAGATACGGTAACCAAGCCACTGGATACAAAGAATAAAGCACAGAGGTTGTATGATTTGTCCAAATTAAAGATAGATGTGACTATCATGTAATTGACAATCTTCTGTAAAACATCCATTAAGATGTTCCTGAATATTATAAGAAAAGCTCTTGTGCAGCTATTAATGTTTATCTAGAACATTATATAAAATATGCGCTCTCTTCTTTAAAAGTGTAATAATATAGGGAAAAATAAAGTTTAAAGAGCCAAATACTCTGCATGTGTAAATGGACTCAGAGGGCAAATTCATCAGCTATGTAAGAAGATGCCAAATGCATTAACATCCTTTTGAAGTAAATGGAGCTGCACCTACTTATGGCATTGATGAACTTGGCCTCAGGACCCCATGCTTTCAGAGTTACTGGGTATAATTTGAGTTTGTTTCACGTCTAGTTTCCCCAGACTTAGTGTTTAACATTCTATCTAACTTCATGTTCCCCAACTCATAATATCTATTTCTGCCAGGTTGTAATGTAATTCAGTCTTCTTGGGTGGGTTTATATTAATATGGAGGAAGAAACACATATGCTAATTTATGCGTATGTGCTATGCTTATAGGAAGTTTTTTTTAATCCACCTCTTTGAAGATATTCATACATTTTATTTGCTTTTATATGTCAGTTCGTAACTTTAGTTTTGTAATCAATTTGCACTATTTAAATAAATAAAATTCAATGAACCTCCTCCTTTCAGGAGGAAGAGGAAAATTTGGAATAAAACTGGTCAATTCAGTGGTTTTGAAGAGCTCTTACTTACCAAATCACATTAGTTTATTTTTATCAGTTATTAATTATAAATTAATCTGTAATCTATAATTGGTGTAGATATCGTGTTAGGCGTAGCTTTATGGTATATTTTTTTCAATTGCTCTGGAAAAGTGGTTTCTCAGAAGTGCACAATTATATATTTCATCTTCATGATTTTCTGACTGTGGTTTATTGATGAATTGTCCACTGTAATTAGATAATTCTGGAAATTGAATGACTTTCTTTTTCTTTGGCCATTGTGGAGAAACTAAATGAATTCTTTGCATCGGTCTTCACGTTGAGGATGTGAGGGAGATTCCCAAACCTGAGCCATTCTTTTTAGGTGACAAATCTGAGGAACTGTCCCAGATTGAGGTGTCATTAGAGGAGGTTTTGGAATAAACTGATAAACTAAACAATAATAAGTCACCCAGGACCAAATGGTATTCACCCAAGAGTTCTCAAGGAACTCAAATATAAAATCGCAGGACAACTAACTGTCATCTGTAACCTATCATTTAAATCAGCTTCTGTACCAAATGACTGGATGATAGCTAATGTGATGCCAATTTTTAAAATTTGGCCAGAGGAGACCCTGTCAATTACAGGCTGGTAAGCCTGACTTCAGTACTAGTCAAACTGGTTGAAACTATAGTAAAGAACAAAATTGTCAGACACATAGATTAACATAATTTGTTGGGGAATAGTTAACATGGTTTTTATAATGGGAAATCATGACTCACTGATCTACTAGGATTCTTTGAGGGAGTCAACAAGCATGTGGATAAGGGGGATCCAGTGGATATAATGTATTTAGATTTTCAGAAAGCCTTTGACAAGGACACACCAAAGGCTCTTAAGGAAAGTAAGCAGTCATGGGATAAGAGGGAAGGTTCTCTCATGGATTGTTTCCTATCTTTTAACCAGTTACCAAAGGGTAGGAATAAATGGTCAGTTTTCAGAATGGAGAGAGGTAAATAGCAGTGTCCCCCAGGGTCTGTACTGGGACCAGTCCTATTTAACATATTCATAAATGATCTGGGAAAAGGGGTAAACAGTGAGGTGGCAAAATTTGCAGATGAGACAAAACTCCTCAAGATAGTTAAGTCCCACGCAGACTGCGAAAAGCTACAAAAGGATCTCTCAAAACTGGGTGACTGGGCAACAAAACGGCAGATGAAATTCCATGTTGATAAATGCAAAGTAATGCACATTGGAAAACATAATCCCAGCTAAACATAGAAAATGATAGGGTCTAAATTAGCTGTTACCACTCAAGAAAGAGAACTTGGGGTCATTATGGATAGTTCTTTGAAAACATCCACTCAATGTGTAGCGGCAGTAAAAAAAAAAGCAAATAATGTTGGGAATCATTAAGAAAGGGATAGATAAAAAGACAGAAAATATCATATTGCCTCTATATAAATCCATGGTACGCCCACATCTTGAACACTGCGTGCAGATGTGGTTGCCCCATCTCAAAAAAGATATATTGGACTTTGAAAAGGTTCAGAAAAGGGCAACGAAAATGATTAGAGGCATGGAACAGTTGCCATATGAGGAGAGATTAATAAGAGTAGAACTTTTCAGCTTGGAAAAGAGATGACTAAGAGGGTGTAGCAAATTGAGCATTCACCGGTGCATGACCAGCATTCAGTCCGGGAATTAGCTCACTTCCAGCCTTGGAGTGCCTCTTGCTGGCCGGGAACCCACTCCCCCATGCCCACCTTAACTCAGCCCTGGTCT